GTCCCAATGTTGTATAAACTCAATTGTTTACAGCAAGCAGTTTTCGAGAAGCGTAAAGAAAAAAAAGTCTCAAGTTCTTCAAGAAATCTTTTACAAGGCATAACGATATAATTTTTGATGAAGAGGGAAAGGCTCATGTCAAACAATACTCCAGCTTCCCATCAGTTGCAGTGGTTCAATTGCAGCCAGATGTTATGGAAACTCAAAACGATGCAGAAAACGGATCTGAAATGGAAGTTCAACATGATGGTGAAATCGAACGAAAGGATGAGCATCAACATCAAATCGAACCTGAAGTTCAGAATACTGATGTTGACAGTATAACAGTCGCTAATGGGCAATGCATCCATAAGCCAAGCTTGTTCTTGATATGCAAGGAATATGCGGAGAAAAGGAGGACAAAGACCTTGGATTTACTGATGTCAGTGATACGGATGATACCGATAATGAGATTTATGATGATGATGTCACTGATGATGAGATAAGTGAAGCAAGTGATGAATAGAGTATGTCACCACCCCAGGAAATTATTACCCCTTGTAAAAAGATATGGCATCAGGTTGATCCGGTGGTCCTTTGTATTTGTGACTTTCACAAAATGCCAGTGAGGAGATTTTCCTGTTGCAAACTGTGCAAATAGTATCGTCACTGATCACCACAAGATTTGGAGTTGATTCATCATTCCCTCTTTTTTTTCCATCTGAGACGTGAGCACCGTATTTCAGCTGATGGAACTATTGTAACCTTGTTTGCAGTGTTACAGACATAACTGTGAAATGTAAAGGAAATTTTACAATTGAACTTTTGACCTCATAAACTAGAGGATTGTGAATTAGAGTCAGTTCACAACACATTATTTATTATACAGATACATAATTTAACACTTATTCCAACCAAATGCATGCATTCCTGGTTCATATGTTACCAGTATCACTTGAGAAACCTTTAGAACATTTTTTCATCTCACTAGCAAATACTCGCATGGCTATATACGATAAAAACAACTTCATACCATAAAAACTTAAACCACCAAAAGAAAGCATTGAATTTTTTATTTTTCACAATATAACAGAGAGGCCATTACAGAAACCTGAGGGAATTTGGTACTTCAACCTTGGTGAATATATTCTGGACATTTTCATTGTTTCTTTAAAAAAAATCAAGCAAAAGAATAAATTATAAACGAGTTATGAATGAAAATTGTACACATTCAGTTAGTTATATTGTTGTATTTCAGTTCTAAGTCATAAAGATCCAAGATCATGATTTAAAGCTTGCCCAGAATAAACAAGTTTTATTTCAGAAAGGACTTCTATCGGTAAAGCTTCTTAGGAAAGAATCTTTACGGAAAATTAACTAATGAACGGATACGTAACAATATATATAGAACAAAATTTTAAGTTTAAGTTAGTTGATGTATACAACTTAACTCGTTTAACAATACATCTTTATAATACAGTATAAATATCTTATATGTATATCACAGCTCTCTTTATCAAGTGGCCATTAGGAAACAAAAGTTTTGTGACGCAGCTTTAAATCATGTTCTGCTTCTGAATATAACTTTGCGATACACTTAATTTCAACAGTCGGTTATAGCGAAACGCTGTAATTCTCTACGAACGCTTCACGTGCTCGACTCAACAATACTCAATTCAATTACACACATTGTTCTGTCACGTTGTGACCGTCTTATATATACTAGACTAACACATATCTAGTAAACGCTAGATCATTCATGAAGGAACAGGATATTTCTAGAAGTCAATGACGTGTTACCAGCGTCACGTGACCTGCGTTGTCTAACAATATTGTAAAAACGAATTTTTAGTCTAACCATTCAAGGACAAGAAAAATTGTAGAAAAGAAACTGGCTAAGTATTCTACAATAAAAGTTATCAGTTATTAGAAAAAATAAGAGCCTAAAATACTGATTCAATATTTTGTTTAAAAGATCAAAAACTTTAAATGTGGAATTTTTATTGAACCTGTTTTATAAAAAATAAGAACTAAACACAAAATATGGAGATTTTACTTTATATTATGTCTCCCATTTAGTTCTTATTTGTTATAAAACAGTTAGATTTAATACAAGATCTTTATTTAAAATTTCTAACTCAAGTTTTAGATCTTATAAACAGTCTAGAATACTAATGCAGAAAAAGTTTTTCATTATTTATTTGTGGAAGAAGAGATATTTCCTGCCTGGCTTGGCAGGAAAACTATTTGAAATTAGTT